AATAAAGGCATGCAGAAAACTGCTCACCACAGCTATAGCAGCAGATCCTTCACCGGATGCCAAGACCTCGAATGGCGACAGCACAGCCAAATAGGCAACATTTGCAAGTATGTACACGGAGGTGACGATGAACAACGATAACATTATGACGATGGGTAGATTCCTGAAAGGGGAATAACAGTGTAAGTCTCGGTGATAGCACAAATGAACAGAAGGTAAGGTATCGAGGAAATCAAGCAACCAAGATTAACAGGAAATGTGAGAAAACCAATCGTCATCATCATCACGCGTTAGCTAAGGGTGAGATATACCTCGGTAGGCTCGCTGCAATACATTGCAGTTAAATAGACACAAAGGAAGAAAAAATACCAAAAACAGTAGATACAAAGCAAGACAAAGGATAGTATGCTTTGCCTTTTATAGTATGCGTGGTTAGAGAGAAAGGCTAAGTGGGTGGTGAGCGGACATAGATATGCACAACACAAACGTCACTGAGATCGATTCCTGGTCATATCAACAGATGAGCCATGAGCGACTTCACTTAGGACCAGCATCGAAACGACGGCGAGTCCTGCTGAGAACGTAAGCAGAACCGGCACAGCGTTGGTAGGTGCGCTGCATTCGTTTCCATTCCATTTACTAAATGCGCGCTTACGTACTGAGTTTCTTTATTCAAGGTGATTGTTTTGCTATAGTGTCTTAATGCTTATTTTATTACCACACTTTAATGTCCACCTGAATAATCTTCTACTTGCTTGCACGCATTGCTTTATCGAAAGGTGGCTGACTTCGTTAATTTTTTCACATTTGTTGCATATGTTTTTTGATCTCTTCTTCTATCATCCTGAATTTATCCCGGATTTACTGATAACGCAATTATTTCAAATGCTAATTTAGCGAAGAGTTGTCGGCATATCTGTAGGGTGTTTTCGATTTATTTTGTTTGCTTTTGTCATATCAAGTGATTAGCTGTTGCTTGACATCCTCAGTGTGGCTGCGCCGGTTGTGTATATTGACAAGGTGCCTATCTGTCTAGTACCCTTCTCGCCTCGATTACACTGCCTCCAGGAGACAGTTGACCGTTGCCGTAGGAGACGGGGTGCACGGTCCTCGTGACCGTGCTAGGCTCGAAGTGGTTCCATGCATATGGTATGTGTGTGGAGCGGGCTACGGCCTAACCATCACCTTGCGTGCGCTTGATTCCCCAAATAAAGCGTGCTTGTGATTGCCTGAGGAGTGTGGGCCGGCTCCGTTGATGAAACGAGGCTCCCAGTCACATGCTTCCCGGTCTTATTTCTTCGGGTTTACACTGGATATGGGGCGTGAATGATGCAGTGAATGGAGCGTTGCAAGCCACCCATAGTCCTTCTGTAGGCGCAGGCGTCCTGTGACTATCCCATGGAGGCTGCAGTGACAGGAAAATCCGAAATTGGATGACGCCAATCACACAATCAAAATTGTTCATCATCTTTCGGACCCCAAACAGAGAGTCGAGAGGTCAACTACGAAGTGATGGCCACCATTCATTTTGACCACGTTATCGGTTGGTATACCCTCCACTTTTGAGATCCAGACCCCAGTCGCGTAAATAATGGACTTCGCGGGGGGCAGTGTGCTGACATGTGTAACACATGGCCCAGCCATCGGCGTATGGTGTGTGAAATAGTGGTGCCGAGCGATTCACTAGCACACGTTTACTGTCCTTACCGTCCCTGTTAGGTATGAGATAAACCTAGACCGTAGCGATGGATCTGTGGGCCAGGTTTCGCAATTATTTATTAGAGTTGTACGGACGGCTGCATTGCAGACTCGACATTTCAGGGCGAGAGTAACGTCGCGCCGGCGACATAAGTAGTAAAGTTGAGCAAAGGTGCCTTGAACATTTGCTATACGGTTTGTCCGTCCACTTTCGAATCCCAAAGCGCTGGTACAACTGCGCAGATAGTTGAATTTCTGAACGACTTTTAGTTGATTCCCACTAAAGGTCAGCCCATGGGGTGGTGTCCCCTGCCAACCTTGGAGGAAAGCTCTGTGTTGAGAGGGTGCAAAGCTCAACCCAAAACGACTGGCTAGCCGAACAACCTCCTCGTAGTGCCAGCTGGGTGGTTCGGGCTTATACTGTTCCAGCAAATGATTCAAAGGTAGTATTCCAGGACGCAGTGCGTTTTGTCCTGGCAAGCGTTCTCCCTATAATATGCCCAAAGTGTCCGTTTAATAGCACTGCGAAGTGGCGGATGTGACTCGCCATTAAATAAAGCCACTGTTCCTTGCTTCACTCCAGTGGAGCACTGTATTCCAGCATCTGGATCCTGTCACTGTGGGGAAGATTGGGTCCTCGTTTTGTAATCCACAAAGCAAAAGCGTATATGCCGAGTGTTCGGTCACCGGTTCCCGATGGGCGCGATACCCTGACTTCGTCCTGCTGCCTTTCGGATAGGTTATTGAGCCAAAGGCTAAGGGTGGTATCCCCTAAAGTCCACTTCCCACTTCGGCTTGGGCAACCGGGAAGTATCGTGCCCTCTAAGAAACCATGGATTTTTTCGGTGTTATGTTTGGTTTTCTTTTTACAACAAGTGTAACTTCCTTTGATTTCCATGTTTCTTGATGGTCCCATGTATATTTTTGGACTGCTGAGATATAAAAATTGTATGGCTAATCAGTCTATTGCCGCTGGGCACAGATAAGGGCAATAGCGACAGCATACCACACCTTCCGAGTCGCGTTCGGTGTATGCAGTTCCTACAACTTCGTCGATGGCGAAGTTAGAGAAAACGCAACAGCGGTTATCCTTGTCTCACACCGTTGGAGGTACCGAAGGGCGGCGACAGTTGCCATAAGCCCACATTGCTCCTGAATTGCGCAGATAAAGCGCTTTGATGAAGTTTACTTATTTCTCGGACGCACCTTTCCTGAACAAATGGTCTCAAAGGGAGCCCCTTAGACGTAGAGGAACACGACTACGGTGGGTCCCTATATAAATGACGGTGCCTCAATAGTTGTCGCGAGGTGAAGCAAATTGAGCAATACAGGCTCGATGTTGAGGAAAACCGATCTACCAATCAAAAAATATAGCTTTCATGGGCACCAGTAAGAATGAAGAACGAGTGGAGAAATCGACTTGGAGGCGATAGAGAGCAGAGTGATTTCTATATAACTGCCGCATTTCCGTGAACTCTATAGAAAATGGAAAGATAATCGAAGCGGTTCCAGTATTTTGGGATAGTTTCACTGATAAATCATGTAAATCATCCACAACAACATGACCCCGAATATGAAGAGACCTAAAGGAAATTCATCTAATTCTGCGGACCCTAAGCAATTGTAACGGTCTGATCTCACGTTTGACATCAGCGCAAGTGATCGGATTCAAAGGGATGGTCTAGGATGAGCGATCAATGGCCAACAAGGAAACTGTTCATTCCGGCAGACTAAACTGATTTTCAGTTGTGGATAGGCTGTACCCTTTTGTTGCATATCATTTCGCCAACATCAGATCTCTTGCTGCTCGTGTCCCCTATCAGGCGGAATAATTTGTGATGGTTACCAAAAGTTACAGATTTGTTCCGGCTTCGCGTCCTGTCTTCAGGTTAGCACTCAACTTGGCCTCGAGATATTAGCGAGTCACGTTGTGTTCACTCACAACCGGGATTTGTCCGCGGGCATAAAGAAGTTGCAGACTGCATAGAGACTCACTGTCCATGCTGGTAGTCGCAATTGCGCAAGAAGACATACCAGTTGATAATAACGTTTGCTGAACATGCAACCAGTGTCAGACAACTATGTTCAACCAAAATGCCACCGCATCTTGATATGCATTTAGAATAACCGATTTTGCTAGTTGGAGGGTAGCTATGCGCTCATAGCGTCATCGCGGACGTCTACCGAAACGCACCCGCAAGTCGGCGGATTCTAGTGCTCCAAATCAAGCGACAGTTTCGGGGACGCAGCATCCCCTGGCAGCACCTGATCGCGATGTGATCGATTTGTATCCGTAGCTGGTCCGAAGTTCATGGACGCCATGTCATCCTTCGGTGGGTGTTGTGTCAAATTAGTGCTCGCGAGAAATAGTGAACAGCATCTTCACACAGCTATAGCAACCCTCACCGTTATCATTAAGAGAGCGCACATCGTGTTGACTGCCCGGATGCTCATCAGTGAACAATTTTCCAAATGAAGCTTTTGAATCACCAGTCAGCACCACAATATCCATGTTTCTTTTGTGAGGATATAGCTGGTTAAGTTGGTAACATAAGGCATTTTCTCCGAGTCAACGCTGCGGTTTATGGGGGCCGAGGCAGCAATGACAAATAGGCACCTATTAGCATCGCGCGACTTCGAAGCTTTGAACTAGCCAGCAAATCAGACGGTGCACATCTGGCTATTGACTGGGATCCAGTCACCAGAGCAGCTTCAGCCCGAGAGCTAACAGTAATGTCCACATGGTTTTATTCTGGCTCTATGTCTAGTTAATAGACTGTTGAAGATACATACATACATACATCAACACCAGCAGGACCGGCATTTAAAGCTGCGTTATCTCCAGATAATCGCAAAGACAAAGTGCCCAGGTGTCACATGAAGGTGACTACCGGATGAGCACAGAGCTGGAGTCTGGTAAGCAGGTCCCGGATAAGCGGCATACATCGATCCATAAGGTCCCTGGTGTTCGAGCAAGTGCTGTCTGTGGATTAAGCTGCAACAAAGCGCGTAGGTTGAGGCATGTCAGTCTTGGCGAGAATCGAGGACTACAAGCAGAAGTGAATGAACTGGGGTTGTCCGCTTGATTGGAGATGGACTTATCGATTGGATCAGACAGGCGCCTTGCGAATGCGTGCAAGTCGAAACTATAAGAGGAACGCCTATTGAAGCAAGGTGGTGAAGGCTGAGAGTTGAGAGGAGGTTGTAAGGAGGAGGGATAGAAGTGAAGTTCGAACAGGATGATGAGGGTGAAAAAGCGTACGACGAGGATGAGAAGACGGGAAGGCATGAGCAGTAACATCTTCACCACTATTCATCCCGTTCGATGCAACATTTCGAGTGCCGTTGATTATCCGCTGGGACGGCCAGAGCATCAGAAAACTGAGGAAAGTTTCATTGTATTATGCGGGTAGGGCAGTTAGGTTACCCAGGTCTAGACAGAAGAACAATTAGGTTACGCAACCA